TAATTTAACAAGATTGCAATCATTCACAGAGAGTGAATAAATTTTGAGAGAGGTGTTTGATAATTATGAATACTATGTGAAACTTGAGAAGAAGTTGTTGTATGACGAGAGAAAGTAAAAGAGGGTTTACAAAATAATTGATTAACTTCGACACGACCAGGTTAGAGAAGATCATATGAATAAAAACTCTCTGAAATTGAGGTTTTATTTAAGAAAAGTACTATTGACTATGGTTTAATGAGAATGATTTGATTGAATTTCCAGAGGTTGAGCAGATTTAGTAAATGTAAATAAGTATGAATTTCATTCAATAATTAAATAGATATGAAGAAATAATTTACAAAATTAGGCTTGCCAGTTGAGAAGTACAAGGCAAACATCGTAACATTCTAGCCATTGAAAATAAATTCTTAAAAGAATAAGAAGAAATTGAATGAATTCCCAATGAAGTTCTGAAAAAGGATGGTGAAACTACAAATAAGAAAGGAAGATCTTAAAAATCTGCTACATTCAAAAATGTTGATACATTAATTTATGATAATTTGACCAAAGCCAGAAAAGATTTAAAGAGTTTAAGACATATTGAAAAATGGAGACAATATCTCAAAATTATGTGTATAATTTAAACATAAAAATGTAAACTGACAAGAATTTCTTCAAAAAAATGATTCTTTAAAAGTATTAACATGGTATATCAGATGAGGGTATGAGAGAGTTGGTTAATCTCAAATAAAAATTAAAGAATATTAAGCGTAGAAAAAGATGGTTTATAAGAAATTGATTAAAAGAAAAACCATAAAAAATATCTGTATTTATAAATGGAAGTGTTTCATTAAGTGACTTCTAATTTATGAAATACATTTATTACAATCCTTACACTTAGTATGATGAATGTATAAATGTACATCATGGCAATTACTAAAGTGAAATTTGGGATTTAATAGTTTGGGGTGTATAAAATTAAGAACCTATGGGTATTTAATAGAGTTTTAAATTTAGATGTGAAATTGGCAGAATTATATAGCAATACTTGTGGTTCAAAATGCCTGAATATTTGGCTAAATTAGTCGCGGACTTTTATAAATTTGAAGTTGGAGACACAAGTAACTGTTGTGGTTATTTTGGTAGATTCTTAAGTTAGAAAAAGATGGATAGAATCAATGGAAATTGTCAATGATATTAGTACTAACAAAGTATATTCCCACATAAATGATGAAGCATTTGTTCTTAATAGGATATTGAGTTCTTACATGCAATCGAATGTAAGCAAGAATCCAAAGGAATAAGTAGAGCATTATTGAATACAATTCATTCTTATCGTAAATTTGTTAGATATGGTGTACCATCAAAAGAAATGTTAGTACGATTTATTTAGAGATATATTTAAAGCAACAAAATTTGATAGTAAAACAAAATATTTATCTCATTATTAATTTATTAATTGTTCTCATTATTTTTATGAAATCTTCTTACTTATTTTAAATCAAAAGAAATAGACAGAATCTGAGATTAATTGATAATTACTACAACTCCACAAATAGTTTAGTAAAGTTATTAGTAAAATTAGTTATATATTATTTAATTAATTTATAATGAACTATGAATGGTTTTAGGATGATAATCAAATAAAATTACGCTTTGAAATCAAAAATACTAGAAGCGATAATCTTGACATCTAAGTAGCTGATGTAGTTGTGAAAGTAAATGTGCTGGACAAGAAATTTGCTAAAACAATTGACTTGTTGGCTCCTGTTCTTGAAGGCAATATTAAATATGGAGCAGATGTACTCGAGGTCACATTAATCAAAGTGCAACCTGGCAAATGGCCACAATTGAGTCCATCACTTAGTAAAGAGGAATTGATTCAAAGAAGAAAGGATGTAACTTATACAGATTATTTAAGGCATTTTTGAGAAAAGATTAAGAAATCCAAGCTTAAAAGAAATTAAGAGAAGACCTTAAATAACAATTTGACTAACATGCCACTAAGGAATAGATCAAGGTAGATGATCGTGAAAGAGACTTAATTAAAAGAGAGCGAGAACAATAAAGGAGTGATGCAGTCTCTGATCTGTATGATTAAGTTGGCTAAGATTCAGGATTTGAGTAGAATTAAGTAGTCTAATAAGAAGCAAATGAAGACTAAATAGAGGAAAGGTTGGGGGGGTTTGAAGGATTTGAGAGTTATAGGGTCAGAATTGGGGGTGAGGCCAAGGCGGTCCCGACCTATATCTGAGACGATGACATCTTCACTGATGAAG